TAGATAAAATAGTAAAAATATTAAATGAATATTAAGAAAAATAATATATACACTAGAATATAATAAATATTTAAAATCAATATTATAATATCTATTCAAACACCCTAATTCAATTAGAAGCATCATTAGAAATAGTTAAAATAGAACTTAATCGATCATCAATACATCAAAATCAAAGAAAGATAAATGGAACACAATCATAAGAAATAAAAAATATTCCAGTAATTGAAAAAACATTTAGAACGAAAAGAGATTGAAAGTAAATAAGTAATAAATGAACCATAAAAGCTACAACATTTAGTAAAAAATGTAGGAAATAAAATATGATTATAGGAAGAGAATTAGAATTACTAAATTTAACTAATGTGAAACATCTGTAATATAATATTAGAGAATTAAAAGGAAATTTAACATAGAAAATTGGACATCACCATGGTTAAGAGAACTAAATATAACATTCTCATAATATTTATATCGAGATACAATTCATAAGATATATTTGCTTCAGAAAATTATTCAATTATAAGAACACATAATGATATTTGAAAATACTTATAATGATAACTGATTCTATATTTTCTATTGAAAAATTGATTTGCTATCAAGTATTCAAAAGAGGATTCCAATTAAATAATAAATTTTTTTGTTTTTCATAAGTCCACATGGTTTTTTTACAATAAGATAAGTAGAAGGCCCAATCATGAAATTTAGAAAACGAAATATTTCAGGAATATTCTATCAACTTTAACGCAATGCACATAGCAATAAACTTAAGTAGTACCGGGTGCACATATAATAGAGTTCAGTGGTACCCGACGCCCTATTCAAACTTAAGTGGTATGTCTACCCAATTCTCAAATTTAAGTGGTACACGAGGTATTTTACCCAATGAAGTAATATAAATATTATTTACGCATAATCATTCTTCCAAATGTGATGACCAAAAATTGCAGAAGCAAAGAAAACGTAGAGGTGGGAGCACTTTGCGGCTGTGTTCTAAACTGCACCAAACCACTAACCTTTGCGATTATATTACGATCCAACATGCGATGCTGTCCAATTAATATGTGGTGCGGTACGGTGCGATTTATAACTATACGGTGCGAACCGCACCGATACCCACCCCTACTAACGTCCATCTTTCTAAGGAAAAAAAAAGCCAAAGGTTGGAACTTGGACGGCGTTGTCTAGGTTTAGTGTTGGTTGAAAAAGTTGGGTCAACGGGTCCCAGATCCGCAGCTACCGAAACCGCAAACCCCAACCGGCAACCGGTCATTCCCACCGAGAACAAAACTTGTATAACGTGCCTAATTCTTCTCCTTTTTGGCCCGTAGGTTTCCTTCTCTGAAATTTCTTTCTCTTCCCCTCTGCCCTCACAACCGTCCAGTAAGCCGGCTGACGGTGGCGGCCGCCGCACGTAGCTGAAGAAGGAAACCACGGGAGAGTGAAACAAGAAAAATATGGCCGCTCCCGAAGCCCCTCTCAACTACTACGTCGGCGTAGCCAGAAAGTCCGCCGGTTTCCGGCTCATGAAACAAATGGTACTGCTGCTGCTTCCATGACCGTGATTTGTTGTTGTTTTCTTGTATTGAGAAGTAAATAGGGTTTTGTTGTTACGGTTCTTGACGATTTGTTGGTGTGCAGGGATGGGAAGAAGGAGAGGGGCTCGGGAAAGATAAACAGGGGATCAAGGGGCACGTTAGAGTCAAGAACAAGCAGGATACTGCTGGTAAGGGGAATTTTGTTTAGCTTATTTGAATTCAGGGCCTGCTTTTGTTTGTTTGCATGTCTCTCTGGTTTGGGGGAGTTTAGAATGGAAAATGTAGCTCTTTCTTCAGTTGCTGTTTGCTTAGGAGATAAAATTAAGAAGAATTGGAATGAAGGTTTAGCAATGGTGGTTGTCCATTTCCTCTAATTTGTCCCCCTGTTTTTGTTTGGATTCTGCGAATTTTCGATGATCACGTATTGATTGCTGTCTTCCTGCTTATTTTTGGATCGAATTTGAATAAGGGGTTGGAGTGGAGAAGCCAAATCCTTGGGCTTTTGATACTACCCAATTCGACAGTATCTTGAAGAGATTGAAAGTGGTAACTTGTTGGTTTCAATTGTCATAAGAGAAAATATTTAAAAGATGGGTAAAATTCTTTCCCGACTCAAAATTCGACAACACCGAGACCGGATCGAATTAGGTTAATACACATGAATTTGAGTTAAACTATTAAGAAATAATTAAAACATTTGATTAATTAAAGAAAAGTAAACAATATTTGATGTGACTCTACCAAATAGTAACCCAAAACTTGTTCTTTTAAAGAGTTCCTGATCACGACTAAAAGATCTAACCCCCTAAAGTCTCCCAAATCATTTCAAGTCCGACACAATAACAAAAAAAACCGGTAAAAAACCATTTGCAAGGCGGAGACAAAAAAAAGTAGTAAAACGACCGTGATCGTGATCTATAAGCGAAGGAAAAGAAAAAAAAAACGTGCTCAACCCAAAATTCATTACTATCGAGTTTAACTCGATTTAAGCATATAAAATCCGCTTACCCGGGTTCAACCCATTGATTTAAGAGTGTAGAACTCGTAATCGACCCAAAATTTGTAAGAACTGAGTTCAACTCGCTTTAACCATGTTGAATGAGGTCGAATACCCATTGATTTGGGTTCAATTAGAATTCAATTGGCATAAAGTAACGGTTAGAATCTTAACATCTTAAAATTAATTGTTTAGAACCTTAATGATATAAAACTCCTCCAACCTTTGGTCAATTAAAAAATAATCATCCCTTGTGATGTGACTCTAAGTAATAGTAACCTTCTACTTGTTCTTTTGATAGAAGAAAAGAACAAAGCGGGTAAAATTCGTTCTCGACCCAAATATCGGATACATCGACACCGACTCGAATTAGCTTGAACACACATGAGTTTGGATTCAATAGTCATAAGAGGAAATATTTAAAAGATGGGTAAAATTCGTTCCCAACCCAAAATTCGGCAACACCGAGATCGGGTCAAAATAGGTTGAATACACATGAATTTGAGTTCAACTATCAAGAAATAATTAAAACATTTAATTATTTAAAGATAAGTAAACAACAAAATAATCTTAGTTGATTCGACTGTACCAAATAGTACCCCAAAACTTGTTCTTTTAAAGAGTTCATGATCGCGACTAAAAGATCTAAGCCCATAAAGTCTTCAAAATCATTTCAAGTCCGACACAACAACAACAACAAAAAAACCGGTAAAAAACCATTTGCAAGGTGGAGACAAAAAAAGTAGTAAAACGACCGTAACCGTGATCTATAAGCGAAGGAAAAGATAAAAAAACGTGCTCCACCAAAAATTCGTTAATACTGAGTTCAACTCACTCTATTGATTTAAGCGTATAAAACACTACAGGAAAATGCACCTTCCATCACTGGATTTCCCGTGACAAAACAGCCATTTCCCGTTACCGAAGGACGTAGTCACGGTATATTCCCGTGACAAGCATGCCCGTAATTAAAAATCAATGATTACGGGAATTCCTGTGACGTAAAATATACAATAACAGGAATAATCCAATGACAAATAATCTGAATTGTCACGGTAATTATCGTGACTAATTATTTAACACGGGAACATAACCGTGACGAAATGTTAAACTTGTCACGGGATTTCCCGTAAAAAAAAGGGTTATTTGGCACGGGATTTTGTCAAAAAGTCACGAGAATGCTCGGCCGGTGTCCATGCTAAAGTGACGGGTTTTGTCTCAACGATCACGGGAAAACCCGTGATGTTTGTTCTTACTAGTCACAGTAGAATCCCGTTACAGATAGTTGCTACTAGTTAAGAGAAAATCCTGTGATGTATACTTTTCTCCGGTTACGGGAGAATCCTGTTATTGTTACTAAACATTTAGTCATGGTAAAGTTTCACAACTAGTCACAGAAAACTTTGTAATTAACTGTAGCTAAAAGTAACCTGAAAGACCTACAATAGTTAACGAATGAATTTTCACTTGAAACAATTAAGAAGACTTATCAATATATATATATATATATATAATTCACTAGTCAACGTTAGTTTACAATTAAGAATGCATTCTGGAAGCATTTGGGGGACATGGAACCTATCTAATCCATCATATCACAAAATACCAATGCTTCAACAAAATAAGCTAGAGTAGTTTCTAGGTTTCTTCAAAACAATATTGCCATTGCACTCGACAATGTGCAAGGTTGAACTACTCTTCTTGTGCTTCACCTTTCTTTCAGCCGACCACCTTATGCTGCACTTCTGAATTATAAAAGAGAAATTACAAAAAATTACCTTTGTTAAATAACAAACATGTATAGAAAAACTAACATTAGAAGTACTAAAACAAATAATTCTAGAGTCAATGAGAAGGTAGCAGCACTGCCCAAACAATAACAAAACATCTCAATAAAAAGCCATGAATTGATTGTTCTAAAACGCTTTCATAAGCTGCAAAGAACAACCAAAACTACTGAATATAAAACTAGGAATGAAATGTCTGGAACAACTTTTATAAGCATCAACACTCTCCAAAGAAGAACCAAATAACATAACAATAGACAGCCATGAATTTAGTATTCTGGAAATAATTTCATAGGCAACCACACTCTCCAAACAACACAATCACAGCAGCTGAATAAACATCTTGGAATTGAGTGTTCTGAATATGATCTCATAGGCAAGCACACTCTCCAAACAACAAAAATACAGCACCTCAACAAGCAGCCAGGAATTCAGTTTTCTTAAAACTATTTCATACGCAACAACACTCCAAACAACAAAATCACAGCAGCTCAACAAACAGCCAGGAATTTAGTGATCTAAAACTGATTTCATATGCAACCACACTCTCCAAACAATAAAAAAAACTAGCAGCTAATTAAAGGATAAGAGTTCAATGTTCTAGCTCCAAACAACAACTCAATAATATAAGAATTTGGTGTTCTAAAGTTGTCTAGGAAGCACAATTATACGTACCTAATGTTGTCGATTTTGACTAGTTTCGAACAGCTCCTGCAACTTCTTCATTTCAGCTTTCATATTGGCCATCTCTTCAGCTTGTTCAGTAACAGTATCTTTCAGTTCGGTAACAGTTTGTTGAAGAGCTTCCTTTTCTTCATCTGATCGTCTCAATTGAGCTTCCAAATCTGCATCATTTGCATTCGTTGTGGAAGTTGAGCTCTTCAAATCCTTAGGTCTCAATCCGCCTCCAAAACAAATCACATGACCACACTTTTGTTCTCCTAATATTGCTTCTACCACTTCAAGTGCAGTAAAGTTTGGATTGGCTTCCATGATCTCAAGTATTTTAGCCTAACCAAGAACACACATCACAGTTAAAATAGGCAAGCAAACTAAGTTTTAAAGGCAAGAATTTTGAATAGAAATTACATGTCTTTCAATTGCCGCATCATCTTTTATCATGTCTCCTTCTTTATAGGTCTCAAACACAAGCTCGGCTACATTTGGAGGTCTGCCCAACTTCTCTTCCTACAATGTAAGAATGATTAATATACAATAAGATACTAAATATGGGTTGGGTTAATATACAACTGACTTCCCTAACACTAGGGCAACACATATATAATAACATATTAAAAGTTAGAAACAAACAGTTTGGCAGCATACTGTCTTTGTAGTCCTACTATAACTATGTTACTTTTGTTATTTAATCAATACAATAGACTACTTAACAGAGGTTGAGAGCTTCATAATCTTCAATTTTGAAACAACTAAAATGAGAAAGACAAATAATATATACCAAATCCAACGCAATTTGTCGAACAGGTCTCCTTCCACTATGTTGATTCATTGTTTGCAACGCTCTATTCTCCTCATTGGTCTTGCTCATCTAACTTCAAGGTTTTCGAACACAAGATCTTGAAGAATTGGGATAATCTTATAAGACTATCACAAACATCTTTTGGCAAAAGACCGCGTATGGCAAGGGGAATAAGATGTTGCAGAAGAACATGGCAATCATGGCTTTTTAAACCTGAGATTTTCAACTCTTTCATATTCACACAATGTGCTACATTGGAAGAAAATCCATCGGGAACTTTCACCTGCTTCAAGAAATGGCAAAACCTTTTCAAAGAATTGTGCTTCAATGTATACGGTGCATTAGGTAAAGTTACCTTCCCACCATCTCGAATAGGATGCAATTCTGATTTTATTCCCAATTCTCCAAGTCAAGACGCGTTTTTAGCGTATCCTTAGTCTTTCCTTTCAAGTTCATGATTGTTCCGAGCACACTATCACAAACATTCTTCTCTATGTGCATCACATCTAAGTTATGTCGCAATAAATGTGTTCTCCAATAAGGAAGTTCAAAGAATATGCTCTTCTTATTCCAATTATCCCCTCGATTTTCATGGGAGACTTTGACTTTGGTGTCAGGACATCTAGTCAACCGAACTCCCTCAAGATCTTGAACTTGTTCAAGTATATCATCTCCTGAAAACTGTATGGGGCAGCCTCCCTTCTCTTTCGTACCATCAAATGAATCTTCATCATTCCTCCATTTATGACAACTAGGAAGCCAACGTCGATGACCCATATAACAATGTTTTCCTCCATTGTATAACCACTTATACATTGTGTCTTTAGTGCAGACAGGACATGCCATCTTTCCCTTAGTACTCCAACCCGATAAATTGGCGTAAGCGGGAAAATCGTTGATTGTCCACAATAAGGAAGCACGCAGTTGAAAATTTTGTTGCTTTGATGCATCAAATGTATTCACACCTTCTTCCCACAAAGACTTGAGTTCTTCTATCAAAGGCTGTAAATATACATCTATCGCATCACCAGGACTATCAGGACCAGGAATGAGCATTGAGAGGATGAAATTAGAAGGCTTCATGATGATCCAAGGAGGCAGGTTATATGGAATTAACAATACCGGCCATATACTATATGGGGTTTTTGAATTCGTGAATGGCTGAAAACCATCACTAGCCAAAGCAAGTCTCACATTTCGGGGCTCACTTGCAAAGAAATGGTGGCTTTGATCGAACGATTTCCAAGCTAGAGAATCCGCCGGATGCCTCATAACCCCATCGATCGCCTTGTTCTCATGATGCCAACGCATCAGGGAAGCAGTCTTAGTGGACATGAACAGCCGTTGAAGTCGTGGTTTTAGTGGGAAATACCTTAAAACCTTTTTTGGAATCTTTTTCCCATTTTCTTTACACACTACTTCTCCACTATGGTGGTCAATTTTCCATCGAGACACTCCACAGACCTTGCAAGTATCGAGATTTTCATCATCCTTTCTAAATAGCATGCAACTATTTTGACATGCATCAATTTTTACATACGAGAGCCCTAGATCCTTGACGATTTTCTTTGCTTCATAATAAGAATCCGGCAAAGCAGCACCTTCGAGCAGAAGCTCTTCTTTCATCATTTTGAGCAACATATTAAATGACTCATTGCTCCATTTACCTTGAGCCTTGATGTGAAGGAGTTTTAATAGGGTTGTTAATTTGAAGCTCTTGCAACCATCATACAATGGTTGTTCGGAATCATTTAACAACCTATAAAACTTTTCTGCTTCATCATTTGGTCTCTCGTTGTATGTATCCTCCATGTCCATGGCGGTTCCATTATCATCAAGATAGACATTAGGATACAAATCTCTCAGCATATCAAACATGTTATTTGAGTTGTCAGTTGCTTCATTCCATGACCCCAATGACTCATCTGGCTTCTCCCCATGGTGACACCAAAATGTATAATTTGATGTCATTCCATGAATTAACAAATGTCTCTCTACGATTGCACGAGATCCTTGCCGCCCGTTGAAGCATTTAACACAAGGGCATCTAATTTCCTCTCCTCCTTTATTCTTTTGGAAGGCATAATTAAGAAATTCCATAACTCCATTTCTATATTCCACGTTGAGCTTGTTATTCACATGATTCGTCCATTGTTTACTAGGTGCCATTTCCTATTGTACAAAGAGAGCAGGTTACTCACATTCATTTCTTAAAATTTGAATTCTTGGTTAGTTTGCAAAATTCACATAATGGAAGGGAGTTAAGCGTAGAAACTGAACACAAATGTTAAATGGCAAAAGAACAAGTTACAAAAACTATTTTCCACATCTTTTTTGTGAATTTTGCTTCTCTTTTGTTGACATCCAGACTAGTTTCTTATATTTTATTCATGAAAAACTAGTATGCACAAAAAGTAGTCTACTTCACTGCCTACCTCTCTTATGAACTATCTGCTAAGTCGTCTATAGTTTGGTAACTTAGTAGATTTCGGAAATGGGAGTTAATTGTAGTTTAATCCAAGGAGTGACTTCTAATGTTAAGGGGAGGAAAAGGTGTGCGTGGTGTGGTGGATCGGTTGTCATTTTATGAGTGGGGAGGTGTGGGGGAGGGGGGGATTAAAATGGAGTCTGCGTATTATGTTATAGTAATTACAATATGGTCACTAAGTTCAACAAAACCCAGCAACCACCCAATTGATAGTTAAAATTAGTTTCACTCCTGATACATCTTTGCATGCATCCCCAAGAGTGTAATTTGGATTTGAACTATGACTTGTTAAGTATATATAAGTACATACAAATCTATATTAACTCATTCAGAAGCTAGATAATCTTTATATATGGAAGGGAAGAGGTAGAGTTAAGAAATGCATACCTAGAGCTGATTAGTAATCCTAGTGCACACAAGCAAGTCTCTATTAATATTGTTGTAATTGTTGGCAGCAACAGATACTTAATGGCATTAAGTTGTAGCTTTCCCAAATCAATTATGCAGCTATCAGACAGCCGATCAAGATAGAGCACCACGCCAAAGAACTCCTGCCCAAGATGGACTTTTCCTTCTTCCTTTCACTTAAGCAGCTCCTTCGGCACCACTCCTTTGCACTAAAATATCTCCCATAGCTCACCCGCTTTCGCAGCCTGCACACAGTTAATTACCATCCTCATCATCACCACCACAATACTCGTTTAAATTTGATAATCACTCTAATTAGAAAAATAGTTTAATCAAAGCTTAATGAATAGATATATAAGGGAATTCCAATGTGTTGCTTATGGGAAGTACATGCTACAAACATAGATTGAGGCGAATGAAAGGGTTGCTGGCTAGTTAATTAGGCATTCACTCTCTAACATCAGGATTTAATTAGAGCCACAGGCTGACTTATAATCTTTCAATGAGTTGGCCACAACCCATCGCCTATACTATGATATTGTATTTGTTTTCTTTTCCTATGAATGGAACCTACGCATTAACAATAAATCTCATTAGAACTTGCAATTTTCAATTCTTTTACAAAGCTATGAAAAAGAGAAAAGGCTGTGAAATTTGTTATTGCCTTGAGTTAGTTTGCTTAACTTGACTTGACACCCTTACTCGAAGTCCCTGTTTTGCCTCTGTTTCCAACCACCAATACCCCAAAATCCATACAGAAGGTAAAGGTTAATTAGAAGGAATCAGAACCAAATCAAAGGATAAAGTTGAAATAGGTAAAGAGTTGGCAGGGGAAAAATGAAACTCAATAATCGAACTAACTAAAAGGAAGAACTGAGCTAATAGCGAAGTAGTATCCAACCATGGTTTTGCTTTTCTGATAAACGAAAAAAATGGGGAGGGTGGACGCGGGAGATGAATTCAGCTTACCTGGATCTAAGCAACCAAAGGTAATCAGCAATGGAGATTAGGGGCGTAGTGGTTCCCAGCTTCCCGAGCTCAAGCTGATTTCATCGTCCCAATCCCTTTCCCTCTTCTCCTATTGTAGTTGCGGTGGTTGAAACCTAGGCAATCCTCCGAAAGTTTACAAGGGGGATGACAGCCGGCGTACTGGATCCTTCACCAGTCCCACAAGATGAATGTGACGCTTTGCATTTCACTATCAAGGAAGGAACGAGCAAGTAGAATAAAGATAGGGTGAGCGGTTTTCTGTGGGTGGGGATTTTGGGAAAGTAGAAGAACCAGAAAATATCCCAGCTTCTCTAGCTATGTTATATTTTTTTTCTTTTAATTATTTTGGTACACTTTACTTTTCATTGGAGCCAAAAGCGGACTCCACCCCTTGGAGCCAAAAGCCCAACACCCAAAAAATTGGAGCCAAAACAATTATACTTGCCGCCAACACAAATTCGTTTCCTTTGTCACGGGAAACTAATAAAAAAACATTACGGGTTAATATCCCATTGCTAAATAAAATTGTTTGCCCCAATTAATCATGGTATTTATTTCCCGTGACCGTAGTTAAACATTAAGTAACGGGGAAAAAACCGTAATTAAATTCCCGTTATGAAAGATCAATTTTCTTGTAGTGAAACTTGCTTACCCGGGTTAAACCCATTGATTTCAGAGTGTAGAACTCGTTGTCGACCCAAAACATGTAAAAACTGAGTTTAACTCGCTTTAAAACCATGCCATATTAGGTCAAATACCCATTAATTTGGGTTCAATTAGGATTCTTAACAGCATAAAATTAATTGTCTAGAACCTTAATGACATAAAACTCCTCCAACCTTTGGTCAATTACAGAATCATCAACCCTTGTTATGAGACTCTAAGTAATAGTAACCTTCTAGTTGTTCTTTTAATAGAAGAAAAAAGCGGGTAAAATTCTTTCTTGACCCAAATTTTGGATACATCGACACCGGCTCGAATTAACTTGAACACACATGAGTTTGTATTCAATTTTCATAAGAGAAAATATTTAAAAGATGGGTGAAATTCGTTCCCGACCCAAAATTTGGCAACAACGAGACCGGGTCGAATTAGGTTGAATACACATGAATTTGAGTTCAACTATCAAGAAATAATTATGCATTCAAGAAATAATTAAATCCGTGCTCAACCCAAACTTCATTAATACTGAGTTCACTCACTCTATTGATTTAAGCATTCAACCCATTGATTTTAGAGTGTAAAACTCGTTGTCGACTCAAAATTTGTAAAAAGTGAGTTCAACTCGCTTTAACCATGTCGAATTAGGAAGAATACCCATTGATTTGGGTTCAATTAGAATTCAACTGTCATAAGTTAATTGTTAGAATTTTAATAGCATAAAATTAATTAATAGTTTAGAATCTTAATGACATAAACTTAATTGTTTAGAACTTTAATGACATAAAACTCCTCCAACCTTTGGTCAATTACAAAATCATCACCCCTTGTGATATGACTCTAAATAATAGTAACCTAATCTATATCTATCTATCTATCTATCTATACTAAATATTATGGCTATTCAAAAATAACTTCTTGCCACATAAGCACTTGGTGAATGCACAAGTTGCCAAGGTGGACAATTTTTTTTCAAACAAAATACTATTTATTGATCTATTTATGAAGTTGTCTCTCTCTCCTTTTAATAATTCTACTCATTTTTACTAAAATTAAAATAAGTTAATTTTTTAGGAAACATTTAAACAAAAAACACACACCTAAGTAATGAAAAAATTTCGATTAAACAAACTATAAAGATGAAAACAGATAGTGACATATATTGTATTTGTTTAACCCAAGCTGATTAAATCTGATTAAGTAAATTTTCAACTCATTTTTACTAAAATTTAATAATAAGTTACATTTTGATGAAGAAAAAAAAAACAAGCACACACATCTATCTATCTATCTATATCTATCTATCTATCTATCTATACTAAATATTATGGCTATTTAAAAATAACTTGTTGCCACATAAGCATTTGGTGAATGCACAAGTTGTCAAGGTGGACAATTTTTTACAAACAAAAAGCTAATTATTGATCTATTTATGAAGCTATCTCTCTCTTATTTTAATAATTCTACTCATTTTTACTAAAATTAAAATTAGTTAATTTTATAAGAAATATTTAAACAAACAAAAAAACACATACATAAGTAATAATCTTCTTTTTTTTTCAATTAAAAAAACTATAAAGATGGAGTCAGAGAGTGACATATATCGTATTTGTTTAACCCAAGCTGATTAAATCTGATTAAGTAAATTTTCTACTCATTTATACTAAAATTTAATAATAAGTTACATTTTGATGAAGAAAAAAAAAACAAGCACACACATAAATAATAATAATTTTTTATTAAACAAAATATAAACGATGGTCTAAGAGAAAACAAGCGTTTGATAATCAATCGACTTTGAGAAATGAACGATATGACTATATGTCTTTTGCTATCAAACACTCACTTCTTTCTAATGTATATACCTATCAAATAAAACAAGTATAAATTTTATAGCAAAATGTTTGAATATAAACTTGACAGAACAATAAATGTTATTTTTTAAAACTTCTTATTTATTCCGATTAAATGAAAACATATTAATTATTAATGCAAACTTTTAATTTGTTTCTGTCCCTTTCCCCATTTTGATTGTCTCACTAGAAATAAAATCCAACTTTGAAAATAAGAAATCAAGAAAGTATGTGAACCACCATAAAAATAAATAAAGCCGTCTTATTAGTTGCTAATTTTTTTGAGATTTCTAATATTTGTATTCTCATAATTTATAGAGAAGGAAATGGTAATACATATGATTTATTTTTCTTTGTATGAGAATAGGAGGCAGGAGTTACATGAGGCAAAGATTAGATGACAAAATTTTGAGCCGTTGTAACATATTTTTTCCTGTAAACGAAAAAAGTTCATATGATCATTGTGAAGATGAGGTGAACCAAGCCGAGGGTTGTCGACTGCTACCTCTTCCTCCTTGATCTAAAGCTGGCAACTGGTCTCACTTTCTCAGCGAATGTTATTGTTTGCGGTT